GTTGATTGGCTCCCCAAAAGTTATCTCCACATTCTAAAACCCAGAATCAGTAAATATTATGCTCTTTTAGGAAATAAAAAAAACTATCTTTGCAGATGGAATTAAGATAAGGATCCTGAGAGGGACAGTAGCTGTAGACTTTACCCTAAATACAGTGATAAGTACACTTCAAAGAGCCACATGTAAGAGAAGACAAGGTGACTACAGGGGCAGAGGTGAGTGTGATAAAGCCTGAAGCCGAGATCAACCTGGGGCTGTCTGAAGATTGAGGAGGTCCCCTCTCAGCCTCTACAGGGGACCTCAGATTTCCCAACCCCAGCATCCTGAGAGAATAAACCTTTATTGATTTGGATCTGATGTGCGATAACTCAGTTCAAGGCACACAGAAAACAAATACACAAGAGTATTTTAAATTCTTAACACTGTTCAAGTAACATAAGGATGACATTTTACTTCATTCAATTATCTTTTAGGTTCACTTTAGCTAGGTTTATTCTTGACATTTTTTTAATCTTCCAAGTAAAAGAATTGAAACAGATTTTTTTTCAGATGGACTGCAATGTCACAGGCACTCTGTTATTGCTGGTGACAAGGTTTTCTCTGTCTTTACGAGTGTAGACCGTCTGCCTGGCCCTGACACCTAGAGTTTTCCTTGCTTTCTTTTATCTCAGGCTGCCTGGGCTTCCCTGGTCTGCTTTGCTTCATTTGCTTGTGACTCACAGCATGGGTAGAATAGGAAAAAGACTCGCTCTTCTACTAGGAACCCATGTGACTGAATCCATGTTAACTGTATGGGAAGTAGTTCAACCTTAAACCAATTGAATGAGTCATTTTTCTAAAGGCACCCTTTGTTTCAGTGTCTGATGGCAACCGGCCATGCTTCATAACAGGGAACATGGTGATGTCCTACTCACTTGAGGATCAGATGCTCTCATTCCAGTAGACGTGCAATACTCAACAGGAATGTCAGCCTTCCCACTTTGCAGAACAGACACATTCAGACAAGCTGGGATACAGGTGCAGACCATGTATGAGTAAAGTGAAAGGAAAACTTCAGGGTAGCTCTCTGAAGTCAGAGTTGGAAGCACGGTAATTGATATACTGGCCCATAAAATTTGAAGACGTATTAGACAATTTACAGGCTTTTTCTGCAGCTTTACAGCAGTTCTGTGAAAAATTGATCCTATGGGTTACATAAGCTCACAGACATGTTTCATGTGTCCTGACTTTATTCTTTTAAACTTGGATGCAAAACTGAACACTCATCATTTCGCACATTAAAATCCAAATTGATGGCTTCCTTTTTGAAGATGGAAAAGGCGTAGAGTCCTCGGCCCATAACCTCCACAGGCAGTAACTGGCTGACAATCAGCTGAGATCTCCGAGGTGTGCACTTTGGTTTTCACGGCAGCTTTCATTCCCTCTACCTTGCTGTAAGTTATATTGTGACTTATGGCACTTGGTATTTTCTTTGGTATTTTAAAATCTTCTCAAGGCTTTTATAACACTGATTTTCTAGTGTAGTGACCCATTCATTCAATATAATTTTCAAGTCTCATACATAGGATTACCTCAGAGAAACTCTTTCCTGGGAGTGGCTTGCCCACCCAGAATGCTCCCTGCTCTGTACAGAAATATGGCTGGAGGTTCATGGTGTGCACGTGTCATCAGGTAGGTACCTAGATGTCAAGTCTACTCTCATCAAAATATCTTTAAGTTTCCTTTGGTGCTGAAGTCAGTGGTTGATAATTTCAATAAAATTAACATCTTTATTTTGCATTGAAAAGAACCATCCCCATACTCCACACTCCCCTTCATTTGTTTCTTTGAATCCTTAAAACAGAAGTGCTTAAAAAAATTATAACAATGGGTGAACATTCCCTCTACAGTGGAACATCTTTCATTGTGTGTGATTTCAGGTCAGTGGCTAGTTTCTCTAGGTCAAGTTGCATTTTCCTGTGGTTAACATTTCTGGTATTAGACTTCTCAGTTCCTAAAACACTGTTTTCCTTCTCAATAATAAATACTTTTTATTTTACAGATTAACAAACACCTTCAGATTTTGAAAATTCTATACAAGTAATACAAATATCATTTTTTTCTAGTGACTTGAATAATTTCTATCCAAAGCTTTGCTTCACATGGTGGGTGTTACCTTTGAGACCAGGTCACAATACTCTACAGTTGCTGTTAGAAAGGGCATGGTTGTTACTGTTCCTTGATTAATCAGGCTTTTGTCTCTCTCTGAATTAAAGGTATAATACAAACTGCATCACTGTTATAAACCACAGCACTGATTATAATTCCTTTGGGCAAGAACTAGGAATTTAAGTTAGGGTTGGAAAAAGGCAAAAATATTTAACTCTCCTATCGATGGATGTACTTCTTGAACTTATATCTGGGCAGGTCACTTCATTGCTGATTCATTGCTCAGTGATAGCCCAATGAAGAGCTTAAATGTCTAATGGAAAAGATGTCACATTCTCTCATACGCTTCCTGCACAGAACCATTCCCTGCCTTTACAACAGTAGCTAAACATGGATCAATGGAAAAAGTTTTAAATGCATAAATACGTGAGTGGATGAAAAAGTGAAAACATAAATGCTCAATCCTTCACCACATTCCCATTGGTCCAGAATGAAAATGGGACTGCGGCCTTCACAAGACATCGGCCTGCAATGTGAGTTCTGCTGCCTCTCTAATCTCACATCATCTTCCCCTGGGCTTACTGGCCTCGGTGTGCGCTCCTGACCTTCACCTCTCCAGCTCTTTTCTGCTTTGTAGTTCTTTTCACCTGGAAAGGTTTCCCCAAAGCATTGAATACAGGGCTCTTCTTCCTTCTCCAAGTCTCGCCCTGCAGATCAGCTCTCTTCTAGAGATCACATTACTCCATTTAAAGTGAACTTCTCTGATTCCTTTCTAATCTATCAGTGTGGATATTTTCTTTCTTGTGCTAGCATAGTTATGATGCTTAAATAACCACTTTCTAGTTTGTTTCTTTCACACAGGAAGCTACAAGTGCCATAAAGACCAATTTTGTCTCACTTCTGTGCGGTGTTTGGAGAACCTGCCGTACCAACAGTGAACTAATGAAAAAGTAAGTGGTGAATGAACAAACGGAATGAGAAAACAGGGTGTATGTGTAGGATAGACTCCCAGTGCTACATTTCATTACATTCTGAGAGGTGTGTGTGTGTGTGTGTGTGTGTGTGTGTGTGTGAGTGTATTTGTTACTCTTAAGTAGTTGATTTTGTAAACTGCTTTATTTTCTGTTATTTTCCTATAATGCCTGATACTGGGAGATTGAGTAAATGGCCCATTTCTATTATGGGTTTAGACACACTTTCTGATCTTAGAAGCTGAATGTTTCACATAGCCATTATCAGAATTTTCAAAATCACAATCACAGGAGGGACAGGGAACACAGAGATAATAACGGATATTCCATTGCATACATGGTTGTCTTTAATGTCATCCGTTCATAAGGGGCAGGGAAAGCTCACTTGAAACAGAAATGTGGACACATTTGAAATCATGGCGCATGGCACAGGGTGGCAGTAGTGCTAGGTCTGCGATTAATTAGTTGTGAACTCTGGGCAGGTGGACCGTTCTGCATGCTGATTTCCTCATTGTGAAGGTAAAGGTGAGGAGTTAGGTTGATGGTTCTCACACTGCGCTCTGCTGAAAGCTGCAGGTCGTGGTGAGGCATGTGAATGGGTTCCTGCTTTCTTAATCCTACTGCAATCACAGGAAGTCTGCTTCTATCCGATTTGTAGATTGGAGCACTGAATATATTTTGCTTTTTAAAATCAGGTCTTATTAAGAACACTGAAAACCAGAATGGATTTTTTTTCAGCACTCCATATTTTTTTACATCATGAAATAAAAAATAAATTCAACATTTAAAGGAAACACTTGAAAACCTGCTCTACGCAAGGCTGTATGCTATCAGGAGAAAAACATGCACAGATTTAATTTACATTCTAACTCACGGTCCACCGTAACAATAATACAAGAAAAATATATATTAAAGATGCACAATGATGATGTAAGCACAGACTCATAAAATTTAGAGGAAGTGAAACTCCAGAGAAAAAAAATATATTTTGCATATGAATGAATAATATATAATATGCATTGCAAGTTACACACAAATGTTATATAAATCATCTGCAGCTTATATATATATATATTATATATCATATGTATTAATTTAAGACCTTGAAGGAACATTTGTCTTGAATAAGGAACGCATCTAGTTAATATGCAGCACACTCAACTCTGCCCCAGCATCTGCTCTCCTGACTCATAATGAGTTCACATTAGAAAATATGGGAGCGTAGCTACAATCATTTATGGTTTTGTTTTTTGTTTTGTGATTTTTTTGTTTTGTTTTTTTTGTTTTACTGTCTCTTGCCAATTTATGTAAGGTTCTTTACAATTATGGTGGGGCTGACCATAGTTGTGGTGTCAAGGCAATAGATCTGTCAAACATTGCTTTGGCTCTTCTCGTGGACTCTCATTTTACATTTTCAATCATAGCGTGGCAGCAGGACACAATCAGTTGGGAGATTTATCAGATTTTTTTTGTTGTTTGATTGTTTTTGAGTCACTGAGGGTTGAACCCAGAGTCTTATACTTAGCAGGCAAGCATTCCACCACCAAGCTATGCTTCCAATTCCATGATTTTTAATAATTAACTGTTTCTGAAACTTTCTGTTTAGGGGAGATAGTTCAGATGAGATTAAACTCCAAAAGACTCACTTAACAGGTTCAAAACTCATTAGTATCGCCGAAAGGGGCACATAATGTGGATTACTGAAATGAGGCTCTGAGCTATACGTTATGGCACACACTTGTAATCTTGGGCTGCTGGGAGGCTGGGTCAGTTCAAGACCATCTGGCTACTTAATGAGAGCCTGTCTCAAAATAGACAAAGGTGGTGGGGCAGAGAGATGTACTTCAGCAAAGAAATTCAGCAAAGCCAAGAACAAAAAGATTCTGTTTTATTAATCGTTTTATTTCCCCAGTAGAGTTTAGCAGAGACCATGTATGTAAAGTGCCCCAGAACACCTGATTCAATATTTAATAATACATAAATGTCACCCATTATTTTATAGAAAGCATATCCCACATTTGTAGAAGCTACTGCTATCTTAACTGTGCAATAAAGAAAATAAAGTTATGTCATCAAGTTAGCCCAGATTAAACACACCCCATATGATCAATAAAGAGAAGCAAATATTATCTTATGATCGTGTTTGTTGAATAAGAATATTCTGCAATGAGCCATCAATTCTAATGGCAAGAGAGAAAAGTGTGTACATATACAACCTCAAAACTGTTGAGTTTTGAAAGTTCCTTGAGAAAGATGTGGCAACATTTCTAAAATATATATCGATGTTCAATAATCATCCGTACCAGAGAAAGGCAAACTTCTTCATTAGAAGGCAAGATGGTAATATTTTGGGCTTTCATAAACCCCATGTGATCCGTGGAAACCACTCTACTCTGCTATTCTATCTCTGTAACTGTGCACATTGGAAGATTAATAAGCTTATCTATTCTAATCAAACAGGGAAAGCTCTGGATTTGACATATAGGGCCAGAGTTCACAGATCCCAGACATACATATGATCACAAATTTGCAAACGTTCCTAGTTCCAACAAAAATGAGAGGTTTCTTTTTAAATGATTTCTTATAAATATTTTCAAAAGAGTAATTTTAAAACTTTTCACTCTAGAGTTTCATTTAGGGAATTAAGATAGAGATGTGCTTTAATTTAACATATTATATCAGTCTTTGTCAAATGTAATACTTAATCTATTTTTATTACAAGTCATCACATGAAATTGATTTCATATAATGAAATACATTTTTATAAAAGATTTCAATTATCACCTTAAATATCAATAAATAATAATGACAGTAACTGATATTTACAATTTTAAGCTAAAAGTTCTAGTAGCTGTTAAGTGTCATTTTTAGCACGACTGATACAACAATTAGGTATTTTCAATGTTGGGGGAGTAAGTGAAAATCCAAGAACTAACTTGATTCAGAATAACTTGTGATTTGTCTGAAAGTAGAAAAGGTTGACTTCTCAGCTCAGAGAGCATGCCGTTTACATATTTTATTCATTCTGTATAGTTTATACCTGACAATCCCTAAAAATGTTGCAGTGGCTCAAATAAAACAATTCATTGTTCCAAGTAACTTCTGAACGCACACATGGATTTTCTCAGAACCCTTTCATTCCTATGCAAGGCAATATGGTTTAGTGGAAAACAGCCTGGGACAAGAAGTAGAAGCCTTGGTTACCAAACCTGATGTATCCTCAATCAAGTAGATTTAAATCTTTTGGTTTACCAGACTCCTTAATTTAAGTTTCTGTCTTATAGGGTCAACAATACTATTCACTTCTATTATTATGATGCCTTTATTAATAATGATTGAAGTGCTTTGTTAGTTATTAAATAATATAAAAGTTAACATAAAGATAATTTTGCTTTTGTAGGTAAGAAGGGCTACAAGCACTGCTACTTCTAAATTGTGGGTTAAGATTTTATTTTTTGTTTTGTTTATATTTCATTTTTGCAAGAGGAAGGGGAGAGCCCTTTTTCAAACACTTATTTGTGTTTCCATCCTTCCTTCCTCTAAAGTAGCATGATTGCCTGCAGCATGCCTGAGCCGACCAAGTGGCCATCTAAGTCTGTTCAACAGTTGGATGTATAATAACTTTTCTGAGGTTGGCTGCTACATACATATTTTTTATCAATTCATTGCACAAGAATCTCAATACTAAGTATGCAGTGTCTGGGCAAAATTACAATAGGCAATTTTATTTTATAATTTGATTCAGAAATAAAAAAATAGTTAATCAATGGTGCTGAGTCTCTATCAATGTTAGTACACAAAATAAACCAAAAAATACATCAACATTTACCATGTACTTGCAAATGACCAGGCAAGGGAAACATGATTTACAACACCGGAAAATTCTGTCAACAACCATAGACTCGAACGCAATGCACTGTAGGTCACTTGGACTAGGTTAGCAGGAATGAGCAAAGTCAGTTCCAAAGGTGACCTCCAAACACCTTCCTCAGATGGAGACTTTGGTAATCGTCTGTGGTTTTAAAAAAAGAAAGAAGAAGCTCCTATTCTTCATCATGTTGGATGGCCATTTTGTCCATTTTTCTCCTGTGATGAGTCTGTTTTAAAGTACTTCAGTTATTCTGAAGACACTCTGAATCCACAGAGCAGCAGACTCTCCCATTCTGTATAGCAAGGACATGAGAGTTAGCCAAACAAGACCCAGAGCGTAAGCCAAGGAGCAATCTGCAATCTTTCTATTCCAAATAACTTTGTGCATTCTGAAACAAGAAATGACCACAAAAGAAACTGCTATGAAAATGCTAGAGCAGGAGCAGAAGGAACAGAGCACTGATGGGCCACTCAGGTTCTTTCTTACTCTGTGTCCTGATTGCCATGCAGGAAGGTCTAGGATATCTTTCCAGTGGTCCAACTTTTCACACAACTCCTAAGCTATGCTTACTCCAAATGAGATTCTTTTCAAAAATACATGTCTGAAAGAGACAATTTACCATTTTTTTAAAAGGCTAATCAGAAATATGAGACAAATCTGAAGGCAAATCCAAGCTGGTTTCAGAAAGGGGTGGATATTAGGTATAAATATAATATCTCCCATGATGACTTGGGAAGAGACAGTGGATATTTTGATACATTATAAATTCATTAACTAATACACATGTCCATGGGTGCTGATCACTTAGTACACTTAAAGGTATAGATTGGACCTTGCATTTTTGCTATATGATATATAATATTATCCTTTTTCCACTGGGGTTGCATCTTAGGAAAGTACTTTCTAAGAAAGAGAAAATAACATTAACATCTCCACTGATACCTGAAGCTGAGCGAAGTTTTGATGAGCCCAAGTAGACAAGTATTTTTAACTTGCTTAACCATGGGAATCTTACATAGATGCTTTGCTAAAGATGTGGACATGAATTAACCATTGCTCTAAATTGGTTAGAGTCACAGGTCTGCATGGGTCTGAAGGAACTGAGGCTCACTTTTCTAATCTTAAAGACCTATTAGGATATCTTATGAAAATTCCTCTAAAAAGATAGAAAATAAAAACAATCAAATGCTGTAGTCTGTACTGTGGGCCTCACACTAGGCACTCTGATGATTTCACCACACAGTTTCACCAAACACTCTTTCTTTTTACCACTGATGGTCTCATGCAAAACTTTATACAGTAACATTTTCCAGATTAAAGTAGATCTTTGTCCTTTCTTCCTTTAATTCCTTTTTTCTTTTTCTAATGCTCAGGCAAAAAATACCTTAATTCAGCTGTATTTTGGCTTAGAGTCAACTGACAAAATTCTGCAGTTCAAATGCCAGAGGGGATGGTTAGGATTCCCTGTAATGAATCTTTGTTCCTTTGGAATTGTCTCCTTACAAAGTGAAGTTAATGATCCACTTTACTAACCTCCTACTAGAAATCAATTCCTGTCTGGTCCTATGCAGAACCTGTGCATTCAGAAGCATCAGGAGAGATCCTCCGGCAACTGTTGTCCCAGCTGTTCAAGGCCTGACTACCCTCAGGACACCCAATTACCTTGCATTTGCAGGTCGTGCAGGGCGATCCAGCCATGGTCCACAGAGCCCCGCTCAGCCTGGAAACACCGGTGCTGTCCACACACGTTTTCCTGATGTCATAGGCGATGTTATCAGCCAGGCAAGGGTCACTGACACAATGCGCACAGCACTCTCCTTCCAAGAGTGCCGTGTACTCACAGCTCAGACTGGGGCATGCGAGTGGCCAGCAGTCCACCTCTCCCTCCTGCAGAAAAGAAGCCAAAAATTACTCCTTGTCTTTCATGAGGAAGGTCCTTCTCAACTCCCAGAAGGGGAAGGAAGCACAGAACTTGCCCTCCTCTCCTCATTAAATGTTTCTAGTAGGCATCATTTTGGGTACAACTCATTGCTTCCTTGAAGAAATCCTACAGACGTTGCCTTCTCCAGATGATTTTGTAGACCACCCATTTTACACTCCATAGAGAGTTAGGTCAGCTATTCTATGTGCCAATCATGGCTTGTAATTGTTCTCATCATGATGTCTGGATTATGGTTATCATCATAGCTGCACATTAAGTGTCAATGCTTGGGCTGATTTTCTGATGCTTAGCACAGTTTTGGTCAAAATATACCCATAAAGTGAATAAATAAATAGATGGTAAGATACTCACTTATATATGAAGAGATGGTGATTTTTCTTGAGGTCAAAGTGGAGCCCAAAGCAATGTAATATTTCAAGCTCCACTTCATAAGCTGCTATTATCAAATTTAAAGTTGGATATTTTCAGCAAAAAAAATATTTCCAACTTGTTTTGGAGTGTAATGTGTGATGAGTGAAATCTGCATTGCAGTTCAAATGGGCCTCCTCCGTGTCTCAGCACGTGGCACCTGGGGCTCCATGGATTGGGTAGGGTAGAATGTTTCTCTATGCAGCCAGTTCTGCTATCAAAACACTCACTGAGATGTACAGGAACCCACATTGAACTCTTCAGTCATTGTCACAAGACAATGGGCTTTTACAGGGACTTTTAGTATCTATCTTGCTCACTATCATATCATCCAAAGTCTGGCATAGGCAAACTCTTGATAAATATTCGTTACATGTGGCCCATATTATTCTCAAGTAATCTCAAATTAGTGTTTATCATTTTTGTGCCTCCAAAAACATATTTACCTTGGAGTCTGGGAATGGAAGTTACTTTTGAAATTCTACCTATGAAAATTTAATGGGTAAGATTAATACCAAGTCTTCTGGTATGACTTGGGAATGACTTCTTGGAAAAGAAGTGCAGTTTTCAAGACTGGTGTGAAAACTAATGTTGTATTGGATAATTATTTTGGTACTGGAAATTAAACCCAGGGACTTTGTACTGAGGTACATCCGCAGTCCTTTTAAATTTTGAGGCTGAGTCTTACTAAGTCATTTTGATGCCCAGGCTGGGCTCACACTTGCACTTCAGCCTCCTAGGGCACTGGAATTACAAGTGCCTGGCGGCACATCCTGGCCCTTGAGTGGGAACTTTAAAATAAAAACATATTCTAATCTCTGAGTTATAGTCCTTGGGATTATGAATGACTGAGAAGAATGTACATCTTTAACATTATCTGAACATTGGCCTGGAGATTTTGGGAACTCTGATCAAAATTTAGAAGATGATTCCTGTGACTTTGTTTTTATATAGCAGCCATAGACTCAATAATTCATTTCAACAAAAGTTTAACACTCATCCATTATGAGTCAATCCATCCAAATCATCAGATGGGATATTCTATATTTGTGAGCTCGTCACTAATGGAAAATCACTTTTACTATGATAAAGTATCCTAAAAATCTCATCCATAGAAACCTTCCTCTCTTTCTACTCCCTCCCTCTTAGAAACCAAATGAACCAGAAATTAAGCCTTTTCCCTGGACTCTTTCAAATGTGATTATCTATAATTATGCCTGAATTAATATCTAAAACAACTTTTGTTTTTTCTATATGGATGTTTAGCATCTAAGAGAGATTTTTCATTATAGGAAATACAAATAGCAGCCACTGTGGACTGACCGCCTTCCTTGTGTCAAGTCCTGTATTTTTTCTTCACATACCTCCTTTATTCTTCCTAATTGCCTCATAAAACAGTCAGTGACATGTGTACCTGTCCACATTTGCAGGAAAGAATGACCAGGTACAGGGTTAGGAACTGCCCAAGCTAACCACACATAAGGAGGGAAGAAATAGAATTGGATTCTACATTTTTATCACTCAATCTCTACTTCTACCCTATTTTATTCTGTCTTGTATTGGAAGCTTTAATGATTATAACACAAAAATAAAGGATTTGGCTCTCTAAAAACTAAATGTACCCATCAATGCTTGGAAAGCAATCTGTCTTGAGAGATTTTTTTTTTTAATCTGGACTTTCTAAACAGTAACAGCTGTAAATTAGCAGCGATTGAACCAAAACTGTTCCATTAATGTGTTCCTTAGGATTTACATTCATATGAGTTTCTTCAGGCAGATCACATAGCCACAGCCTCACAACTGTCTGCTTAGTATTACACATAACTGGGAACCATAGCCCATGGGCAATGAGCCCTTCCAAGGCAGAGGGCAGCTGACATACCAGACACCGACACTGCTGGCAGCCGTGGGTCCAGTTGTCTCCACTTCGATAGAGTTTGTGTCCATTTTGATCTAAACATTGGCTTGTGACCCTGGTGTCACACTCTGGGCAACAAAAAAGGTCAACACTTGGATTGAGACAATCACATGCTGTCCGTCGGCAGAAGATCTTCCCATTCTGTTTAGGAATGAAATTAAGGTAGGATCATCAATACAGAAGCAGCGGGACAGCCACACTGTGAGAAGCAAGTCTCCTAAATACTTTACAGAGCACACAGGACAGATTTCGGAGTCTCAGCCATCACCGACTCATCTGCTGTCTTCAAGACAGATGCCTGCTGGCCTGTTCCTGTGAACACAACCTTTCTTCCCCTAACTTTGCCTACAAAGGCACCCAAGTCGGAATGTAGACACTTGTACGTTTGACAAAGAAATCAATAGGTTCCTTGGAAATGTTTTCAACATTTCCTTAAAAATCATGCTTCTGAGAAAGAGCTAAAGCTCATATAGGGATATAAAATGTTACATTTGAGTGAAGAATTATGCTCCCACCTTTGTCTTAGGTTTTAACAATACCACTTACCAGGTTCAAGTGCAGTCATCTAATTTCATTTCTATCCTAACACTGGCAGGAAGTCTGATGGGTGTGCTTTTTTTCACAAGAGTTAACCGAGGCTCAGAAAGGCTAAGTGACTTGACCAGGAGCACACGTGCCAGTGACTTTGAGCACCAGTGCCAAATCCTATGGTTTAAGACAGTTTTTCTTCCCCATGGTGGCCTCAAGGATGTTCACTTGAAGGGATCATAAGTAGGTGCCAGCTTCCCTCTCGAAGCATTTCACAAAATTACAGGCACAATGCAATGTCTAGAGCACTGGCCCTGGGGACTCACAGACATAAAGCAATGAGGGTCAATAGCACTTGTACATTTGGAGTGAACATTTTGCAGGATTCTTATCATGACTGCCTCACAGCAACTACCCACCTCCAACAATAAAGCAAGTTAAATACGAGAGAAAGCCTGTGGTCACATTTAGGGTTATAATTATTTTGATGAATATTTTAAAAACTAAAACACCAAAAAAAAAAGATTAAAAAAAGAAAGGGGCTGGGGACTTAGCTCACTTGTATAAGCAGCTGCCTAGTACGTGCACAATTGTGAGTTCAATCCCTGGTACCAATAAAAAAAAAAAGATAAATACTAAATCAAAACTCTCAGGGATGGGAAATATCTTAGAGGACACATAACCGATCTTCTCTGTAGCATCAAGATTTAAAAGCCATCAAGCCGGTCTGCAGAGGAGGAGCTGGGCAGATCTGGGGTGCCCTCACTGGCCTCTCTGCATGTCTGGAGGACTCTGGATATCTCCACCCAGACTGCTGGAGTTCCCCCAGGCTTCCAGGTGCAGTGAAGGGGAGAGGTGGGTTTGAGGCTTCCACATCAGCCTCCCCATTCCGGTTACACTTGGAGAATTGCTGAGCTCCCGACGGGTGGGCGGGCCCACACTATCAGCCTAGCCCAGCCTGTTTAGCTGCCGCGCCTGGCCATTGGTCTGCAGAGGAGGAGCTGGAAAGATTTGGGGTGCCTGCATCGGCCTCTCCATGTGTCTGGAGGACTGTGGATATCTCTGCAACCAGGGAGGGTCCACAGGTTCCTGAGGCACTGCGGCCTGTGGTGAGTACCCTAACCCGGCTGCGATTGAAGAACTGTGGAGCTTCCAAGGGGCAGGTGGGCGCACAGTGTCCCTAAGGCCCAGCTTGTCTGGAACTGCGGAGTTCTGAGCAGGCAGAGGAGGGCCACTGGTTCTGTAAGCCCAATGGCTTGGGGTAGCGCGCTGCCAGAGTCTCAGTAGCTCCAAACATAGAAGGGGATTTTCAACAGATCCTGAGGAAGCTTTCAAATAACACTTGAAACACAGAAATATAGGAAAATGACAAAACGAAAGACCAAATTACAACCTCAAACCTCCAGCCCATCTCAAGAAACCCTAGGAGCGATGTATATAGAAGAAAATATATCCCATCCACCTCATATATCGGACACAATAGCCACTGAAATTGACAAGCAACTCCAGGAAGCTTTAAAGAAATTCAAACTCGAAATAATCTCCCAGATAAAAGAAGAAATGATAAAAGAAATAAAAAGAGATTCTAAATATATCTAAAGAAAACACAGATAAAAAATTGGAGGAACTAAACAAAAAGATAGAATCCCTAGACGAGCAATATAAGAAACAAACAGAATACATAATGCAGATGCACAGAGATATACAGGAAATAAAAAACTCCACTGAAAGTTGTAAAAACCACCTTAATGAAAGTGAAGATAGAATTTCAGACCTTGAAGACAGGATTGCAGCTAGTGAACAGGAAAGGAAAGATCTTTTGAAAATAACAAGGAATCAGGAAACAACAATTCAACAATTGCAAGACGATGCAAAGAAGAATAACATAAGAATGATAGGGATTAATGAAAGAGAGGGAGACAACATGAAGGATGTCAGGAGGATATTTAGAGAAGTAACAGCTGAAAATTTCCCAAGCATGAGATCAGAAACTGACATCAGGATCAGTGAAGCATATAGAACTCCAAACAGTCATAACCAAAATAAAACTACACCCAGACATATAATAATCACCATCCCAGAAATCCAACACAAGAATGGATTATTAAAAGCTGTCAGAGAGAAAAGACAGATCACTTATAAAGGAAAACCTATCAGAATCACAGCAGACTTCTCAGCACAAACGATAAAGTCAAGAAGAGCATGGAGTGAAGTATTCCAGATCCTAAAGCAAAATGATTTCCAACCAAGACTGATATATCCTGCAAAACTATCATTCAAAATAGATGGTGCAATACAATACTTCCATGACAAAGAACAGCTGAAGAACTTCATGAACACCAAACCAACCCTGCAAAAAATATTGAAAGACAGTTTAGATACACAAAGGAAAAAACCACTAAGCAAAGCAAATAATTAAACAGAACAGAAAGATAAAGATGCAACAGCAGACAGATAACATTCCTACAATTAACCAGCATTTAACAGTAATAACCATTAATGTAAATGGTCTCAATGCACCAATCAAAAGAAACAGACTAGCAGAATGGATCAAGAAACAAAATCCAACCATATGCTGTTTACAGGAAACCCATCTAACCCAGAAGGATACTCACAGACTGAAAGTCAAAGGATGGAAAACAATTCTTCATGCAGCAGGAATCCAAAAAAGGGCAGGAGTAGCCATTATGTTTGCAGACAACGTGAACTTTAAACCAACAATGACCATAAAGGACAAAGAAGGTCACTACATACTCATAAGGGGAAAACTCCAAGAGGAAGAGATAACTATCTTAAATATATACGCACCAAACTCCAGAGCACCCAGTTATATAAAACAATTATTAACAGAAATGAAAACTCAAATTATCAGTAACACAATTGTAACAGGAGACCTTAATACACCACTGACACCAAGGGACAGATCAACCAGACAGAAAATGAGCAAAGAAATAACAGAACTGAATCACACCTGTGAACAAATGGGTTTGATAGACATATACAGAATGTTCCACCCAACAACATCAGAATACACATTCTTCTCAGCAGTACATGGATCATTTTCTAAAATAGACCATATATTAGCTCACAGAACATATTTAAGCAAATGCAAAAGAGTTGAAATCATCCCTTGCATATTATCAGATCATAGCGCTCTGAAATTTGAAATTAATGACAAAAGATACTGCAAAAATTCCGCAAACACATGGAAACTAAATAACACACTCTTGAGTAATCAGTGGGTCACAGAAGAAATTAAAGAAGAAATTAAACAATACCTAAAAGAAAATGAAAATGCAGATACAACTTACTGGAATCTGTGGGATGCAATGAAAGCCGTTCTGAGAGGAAAATTTATTGCACTGAGTTCCCACATCAGGAAAATAGAACGAATACAAACAAATAACTTGATGCTACACCTCAAACAGCTAGAAAAAGAAGAGCAAGTCAAGCCCAAAGCCAAAAGAAGAGAGGAAATTATAAAATTCAGAGCAGAAATCAATGCAATAGAGACTAAGAAAACAATCCAAAGAATCAACGAATCTAAGAGTTGGTTCTTTGAAAGAATAAATAAAATCGATAAGCCCCTAGCCAACCTTATTTTAAAAAGGGAAGAAAAAGCTCAAATTCATGCAATAAGAAATGAAAAAGGAGAAATCACTACAGACCCAATAGAAATACAGAGGATCATCAACACCTATTTCAAAAACCTCTACTCTCAAAAGTTTGATAACACAGAAGAAATAGACAGATTCTTAGAAGCATATGAAGTACCAAAGCTAGATCAAGAGGATATAAAACTGTTGAATAACCCAATCTCTGCTAGTGAAATTGAAAATGTAATTAAGTCCTTACCCACCAAGAAGAGCCCAGGCCCAGATGGATTCACTGCAGAATTCTACAAGAAATATAAAGAAGACCTAATGCCGACACTCCTCAAACTATTCAATGAAGTTGAAAGGGAAGCAATCCTTCCTAAGTCATTCCTGGAAGCAAATATTACTCTAGTACCAAAACCTGAGAAAGACCCAACTATAAAAGAGAACTATAGACCGATCTCCCTAATGAACACAGATGCAAAAATCCTAAATAAAATATTGGCAAATAGGATCCAGCAAATCATCAAGAAGATTATACACCATGACCAAGTGGGATTCATCCCAGGAATGCAAGGATGGTTCAACATACGCAAATCAATAAATGTAATCCACCATATCAATAAAGCCAAAAATAAGAATCACATGATCATTTCTATAGATGCAGAAAAAGCCTTCAATAAGGTCCAACACTTATTCATGATAAGAACTTTACAGAAAATTGGAATAAATGATCTTTACCTCAATATAATAAAGGCCATTTATGACAAACCAACAGCCAGCATCATACTAAATGGCCAAAAATTGAAAGCCTTTACTTTAAAATCGGGCACAAGACAAGGATGTCCTTTATCACCACTCCTATTTAATATAGTACTGGAAGTACTAGCCAGAGCAATTAGGCAAGAAAGAGAAATAAAAGGGGTAAAGATAGGAAAAGAAGAAGTTAAATTATCATTGTTCGCAGATGACATGATACTCTACATAGAAGACCCCCTAAACTCCATTGAAATACTC